AGTATACCCCATGGCCAATTGGTATTTATTACAGGCATGCAAGCTGGATTCAGCATTTAAAAAGCAGATAATGTAATCCACCATGTCAAGAGGCTAAAAAAAACACATGACCTTATCAACTAATGTGAAAAATTACTTGACAAAATAGAGCACTCATTCAGAATAAAAACCCCTAGCAACTAGAAATGGAACTTCCTAGACAAAAAGTTCTACAAAAGCCCTATTCTGACATCATAGTTAACAGTGAACTGAGCATGTGGTGCGTGCCTGTAATCCCAGCACTCTGGGAAGCTGAGGCAAGAGGATCACAAGTTTGAGCCCTGTCTGGGAAACCTGGCAACTAAGCAAAATCCTTTCTCTAAGTAAAAATATTTAAAAAGTGCTGGTGGTGTAGCTCAATGAGAAGGCAGTGGATTCAATTCCCAGTACTAGAAAGAAAATGAAATGGAGTGGGGGGAGATGTCCTCTCTCACTACTCCTATTCAACATTTTGGCAGTGACTTTTTTTTTTGGCAGTCCCTTTTTTTTTCGGGTACCAGGGATCAAACTCGGGTCCTTGCTCTTGTGAGGCACGTGACAGAACCACTGAGCTAAATCCCCGCCCGCCCCATTCAACGTTATACTTCAAATACTAGCTGGTATAACAAACAAGAAAAGAAAATACAAAGTATATTGATCAAGGAGGAAGAAATGAGCTGTTTTTGCAGATGACACAATTGTCTACAACATGAAAATACCAAGGAATCACTAAGAAAACCTGGAACTAATAAGAGGTTGTAACAAGATCACAGGAAACAAGTTTAACTACTTGTCAATTGCTTTGTTCGTAACAATGGTAAACACCTGGAACATGGATGTAAGCACACCATACCACTTACCCTACCACCCCCAAATGAAAGTACATAGGTATAAATCTAATGAAATGCATGTAGGATCTATATGTAGAAACTTCAAAACTCTAATGAAAGAAAAAAAAGATCTTAATTAATAGGTATTCTGTGTTTGTGGTCTACAGACTTAGTCCAATCCAAATTATACAAGAAAGCTATTTTATGGATGTTGATGAACTGTTTCTAAAGCTAGGTGGAGAGGAAAGGGAAACCCAATGCTGAAGAAAAAGAACAAAGTCAGAGAATGACAATACTCCGCTTTAGGACTTACTACAAAGCTGCAGTGGTCAAGGCAATGTGGTACTGGCGACCGAGAGATAGACCTATGGAGCCAGAAAGAGACCCAGACAAAGCCGCTGAGCAGTGGGGAAGGGCGAAGTCACAGGATGACTCACAGACGGAGCGTAGAATATATCAAAGCAAAAGACTTCAGGAAGATGACATGGGAGAGAATCTAGGGATTTATAATAAGTTTTGAGGTACAAAGTGAAATCTAATCCATGAAGAAAAGTACGATGAGTTGGATTTTATTAAAATTTAAAACTGCTTTGCAAGATACACTAACAGATAAGGCACATCCTAGGAGAAAACGTTTTCAAAACATATCTGATAAGGGACTTGTATAAAAATATTTTTTATAAACCTTACGAATAAACAATAAAGAAAAAAAATGCAATTTAAAGATAGGGCAAAAGGCCGGGTATGGTGGCACAAACCTGTAATCCCAGCACTTGGGAGGCTGAGGTAGGAGGATCGCTGAGTTTGAGACCAGCCTGGGCTACATAGGGAGTTCCAGGTCAGTCTCAACTACATAGTGAGACCCTGTCAAAACAAAACAAAACAAAACAAAGATAGGGCAAAAGATCTGAAGAAACACTTGAAGAATAAGATATGTAGGTGGCAAAAAGGTGTATAAGAAAGTGCTCCACGCCGCCTGTCTTTAGAGAACTGTAATCACAACAGCACGGAGCACAAAATTCACTCTGGCAGGTCGACTAACTCTAGACGCCTGTGACGACTGCAGAACGACAGGAACCAAACTCATCTCTGGCGGGAAGGGTGATGGTGCGGGGCACTGGGCAGTGTCTCACTAAGTTAAGCAGTGGGCTAGGCAGTCGTGCAGTGGGCTGGAGGAGACTCATGGACTCATGCAGTGGGGTTCACAGCAGCTTTACCACTCACTACGCCGAAATGGACGCAACCGTGCTGTCCTTCAGGAAGTGAATGGGTAGAGTTGGTACATCCAGACAAAGCAGTATCATTCAGCAATAAAAGTAAAGCACTAGGCCGGGGATGAGCTCAGTGGCGCCGCCACCTGCCTCACAAGCGCAAGATCCCAAGTTCAATCCCTGGTACCAAAAAAACCCCCCAAACAAAACAACAACAACAACAACAAAACAAAACAACCGAGTGGCCAAACCACAAAAATACATAGAGGAACCTAAGAGCGCATTGCTAAGCAGAAGAGGCCAATGTAAAAAGGCTGCTCACCATGTGCTTCCAAGCACCCGACACTGGAAGGACAGACCGTGAAGAGAGCAGTGGTCGCCGGGGGTTCGGTGGAGGTGGAGGGAGGGATGAGTATGGAAGCACAGGGAACTTTAACGGCAGAAGTTACCCTTTACGATACTGCAATGTTAGGTATGTGTCATTCTGCATTTTTCAAGACCTGTAGAGTGTTACACTTCAAAAAGTGAAACTTACTATGTAAAAACATTTTTTTGGTAGCTGGAGAGATCCAAGAAAGACTGCAGATCTGTCAAGAGATCTTAGAACATGTGCAAGCTGCTCTCTTTAGGGGCAGCGAAGGTGCTGATTTATGTGAGGTTGGAGATGAATGCCAGCTGTGAGACTGAGGCTAAAGGATGTTTTGCTCCAGAGGCATTTTCCATGAAAGAACTGGCTGACAATCGCAACACTGCATTCCAAACCACACAGGAGCCTGTGGGTGATGGAGGGCACCAGAGAGGCAGGAGCAGGACCACTGCTTTGCAAGGTGTGCAAAGGCTGGCTGTGTGGTGTCTTCACAGATGTGGGTGTGCTGTGTGTGAGCTGTATGCTAGACAGGTGTGCGGCAGGGTGTTGTGCAGGGTGAGTATGTATGTCAGATCGGGCCACTCTGTGTCTGTGCATCAGGGTGGCGACTGACCAGGTTTCTTCTGTGTACTGTTTTTGGATGGTGGGTGGTAAAATACGTAATTTGTGGTGTGTGTGTGTGTACACTTAATATATACATGTGACTGTGAGGTGGTATGTAAGTTGTGTATGGTCTTTCCCTAGGATGGAGGTATGCTATATTATTATGTGTGCAGTGTGAGGTGTGTACCTGTGCTGTGTTGTGTGCACAGTGAGGTGTGTACCTGTGCTGTGTCGTGTGCACTGTGAGGTGTGTACCTGTGCTGCGTCGTGTGCCGTGTGAGGTGTGTACCTGTGCTGTGTCGTGTGCCGTGTGAGGTGTGTACCTGTGCCGCGTCGTGTGCCGTGTGAGGTGTGTACCTGTGCCGCGTCGTGTGCACTGTGAGGTGTGTACCTGTGCTGTGTCATGTGCACTGTGAGGTGCATGCCTGTGGTGGGGCGGGCGGCGTGATACTGTGAGGTGTGTACCTGTGCTGCGTCGTGTGCCGTGTGAGGTGTGTACCTGTGCTGTGTCGTGTGCCGTGTGAGGTGTGTACCTGTGCTGCGTCGTGTGCCGTGTGAGGTGTGTACCTGTGCCGCGTCGTGTGCACTGTGAGGTGTGTACCTGTGCTGTGTCGTGTGCATTGTGGGATGCACGATTGTGGATGTGAGGAGGTCTCTAAGAACAGCTGTACTTGGAGCCTCCTGATGCTCCTGGTTGGGAAGGATTTGCTGAGGCTGGTAAGTGTCCGCCTCCCGCTTCCACCTCCAGTCCGCTGCTCCCAGACCCTCCTCCTTGTGTCCCCATCAGCTCCCTGACTCGGCCACCTTCCTTGGAGTGCCTCCACCCGCCCTCAGCCATGGCTGCCCTGCCCTTGCCCGCATCCCTCTCTGGTTGGCTGAGTCCCTCCTGCCCACAGCCTTCCTTGCCTCCCAGGCATCACCCCTCCGTGGGGAAGAAGTACCCCATGAGTATACGAGCACCAGGATGCCAGACATAGCCCTTCCTTGCTCCTGTCCCACATGGCCACAGAATCTGCTGGGGTAGCAGTAGGGCAAGCTGTGGGGTGTGGGCCGAGGTGCCTCTCCTGAAAGGCTCCATTCCAGGTGCCCACGTGCACACTGAGGGCCTCAGGGAGGCCAAGGCAGCCCCTAACTATGACCTTGGTATCATGAAGAGGCCTGGAACCCTGCCTTTGGGATAGTGGGTAAAGGTGGTCGCCTCCACATTCCTAACAGGCTTGCAGCAGGTGACTAAGAGCTGGCCCATTCATAGGCAGACTGAGAGGTAGGGAAGGTCTGAAGGCCCATCACCTGCCCTGTCCCCAAAGCTACCTTGGATGTGGCTTTCCCAGGTCCAGGCCCTCCCACTGCCTGCTCAGTATATATTCAGGCTTTGGACAGGCCAGGACTCAGGGAGGACCTTTTGCCTTGAAGCCTGCACCCTCAATAGCTGACCTGTTTTCCAGTGCCCCGCTGCATGCTGGCCCTGTGTTTCCTGTGCTCCATGGCATGCTGCCCCTTCAGACCCTCAAGCCTCTCTTACACATGGAGAAAGCAGGTTCAGTGTCTTAGCTGGGGCGAGATCCACTAGGATCTCAGTCACCAAGCACAGGCCCTCTATGCCATTAGCTCATTTTGGTCCACACCAGCTCCTTCACGGGTGGTGTGGGGCAGGTCTGTCGTCGGCAGGGCCATCTGCATTTCTGCGGGTGCCTCACCCACTGTGCCAAGGTGGGAGGAGTGTTCAGCCCGGGCAGAAGCCTTCCTGCTGCTGCCAGAAGCCCAGCACCAGCTCAGAGGATGGCTCCCCTCCTTCCGGAGCAGCCCTGTCTGCCATGTGGACGCAGCACCGTCGAGGCCTGTCTGCCTGGCAGACATGGGGAGGGGTACCTGGCCCTCCCTGGCAGTTTTGCCTGGCTCAGCCATTCACAGGGACAGGTCAGTTTGGGAGGCCGGGTGGCTGGGGACAGAGGACTGGTGGGTATGAGGTACCTGGCCTCGGCGTGTCTCACAGTTGTGGAGGTAGCTTAGGTGATGGATCTTCAAGTTTAATGTGGCAAAATTCAGGTACTTTGTGAAGACCTGAAACAGGAGTTAAAACAGCAGGAGTTATAAACTCCAGATTTCGGTGTGTGCTTGGGGAGGGGACATGGCTCAGGCCACTGGCCACACACGACACAGGCACAGACACGCTGAGAAGCTGTGCTCAGCATCCGCAGCTGTGGGCTTGCACACACAAGCTCAGGTGCCCAGGCTTGGCACATGGCTCACACACACGGGTGCACAGAGGGACACGGAGACAGTGCGTGCTGGTGAACTCAGCTGTGTGGCCAGGTGCGCTCAAAAGCGTGCAGGGCCAGTGTGTGTGAAAGACACAGACAGCAGCACGTCTGAGTACTCACATCTTCGTCTTCACTTGTGAAGCATGGGCCGTTGAGCTTATTCACTGCCATGATCACAGCCGTGACGTCTTTGCCATTCATGATGGGCATGGCCAGGATGCTCCTTGTCACGTAGTCAGTGAGCTCATCTGTGAATGAGCTGAAGTGGGGACACTGTAGGAAGAGGAGAGATGCTGCTGCTGCGGACAGTACGGCTCCGGGGTAGAGGCTGAGACCCAGGAAGCTGCCGCCCAGACCATTGCTGAGAGGCCGCATGGCCCTGCTGGGGGTAGTGGGCGCTCCTTTACCTGCTCACCCCACCTCTGCGCGATGAGCCCTGACTCCTGACCTGTAGAGGTCTCCGCAGCTCCTCAGCCTGCCCCACGTGGACCTTCCCACGCTGCCAGCTCCTGATGCCCGAGTCGGCCCGGTTGCCCCGCCAGCCCGTCCTTGTTCAATGACTGTTTCCTGCCTTCAGCCCCTCCAGGGCAGGGCCCTATATGTTCTTCCCCGAAAGATGACTGCTTGGCAGTGAGTGATGAGCCCCATTCTGATCAGTGGCTCGCCTGCGGGATGCTCACCAGGATGGGCGCAGTTGTGAGCCCGGATGGAGGATGCCCATTTGGAATCCACCAGCCCCTCTACCACCAGCTGTGGCTCAGCATGCCATCCTCTTGGCCCACGGGGAGAGCTTTGTCTACCGCTGGCCCCAGGGAGGGGCCCCTACTCCCACCCTCCAAGATGTAGGCTGCCTCCTGTCCCTGGGCTGAGCTTTGCCTCCACAGGGAGCAGGTGGTAGGCTCCACCTCAGCTCAGTCACCCCAAGTGAGGACCTGGCAAGGCCCCCGAATGGCCATCAAAGAGTGAGATGTGTCAGCACCCTGGCACATGCACTGAGGTAGATGGGTGTGGCATCAGCCTTGCTGGGGCCTAAAGTTCCCAGCAAGCTGGGAGCAGCCCCGTGCCCCTGCTGGCCCACTGGCATTGTCTGCCACACTGTTGATTACTAAAAGGATGCCTTCCTTTAGGTGGCTGGGCGCTGTGGCTCCGGCTGCCCTCATGACTTTCCATAGTTTTGGCCAATGGGTGTCAGAGGAAGCTACTGGGGCCAGGAGGGTTTCCAACTTTCTCCAGAGGGGTCTTTGTGGCTGCCACTAGCCTTGCCCTCCTGATCCACCCTGCAGCTACATGGCACCAAAGGTGAAGCATGTGAAGGGAAAGACGGGCGGCAAATACTGGCAGAGGGGCATCGTCTGGATCTGCACCAACTCTGTTGCAGGAGGACATGAGGCTGCTGGCTACGCTGTTGCCCAGGGCTCCCGGGAGGTGGAGCTGAGACAGCAGATGCCCAGGGTGTCAGCGGGAGTCCCAGGGTGGCATGGTGGGTTTCGTACTGTAGGTCACACTGCCATTGTACCTGTGTTTGATGGGAACAGTCACGAGCACCTGAGGCTGGTAGTTACCCTCACATTCCTTTTTCCTCCCAGTGCCCCTTCTCTCCCACCTGGAGCCAATTTTCACAAGTCCCTCAACAAACCCATCAGCTCCAGCAAACCACAAAGGGCAGTGGTCTTCACACAGAACTTCCAAATGTAACATAATGTTTGTTCCTGAAAGTGCAGAATGAGACCTTAAGATGACATGCTCACGTCTGTACAACCTAACTTTCGGAAGACACTCAGGTCCTCGCAGCCTGACCCTAAGGGGAGGGGCACGGGTCCTTACAGCCTCACCCTCAAGAGAACATACATCAGGCACAGACCATGTTCTAGGAAGGTTTAGTCTTCCTTCTCTCACCAGTTTTGCCCTGGTGATTTTTCCAGCTCTCAGACCTCACTCACCCTGTTACCTTTTCCACACCACACTACAGAACAGCCCGTGACCCACTCTCCCCTGGGAACTACATCGTGTCTACTGCTTTGTCTTGTCCACAGTTCTTCCCCTTCAGTATTTAAATATGCCCAGGCTCTGTTTTCAAAATGCCCTCACAGCCCCTCATCTGCCGTGCCTTCTCTCCAGTGCACCTGGGGGCCTGGGCTCCCCTTCCTGGGTACGACATGGGTCTCCTTGGCAGGCTGTGGTCCCAGCTCTCCCACCGAGGTCAGCACAGTACTGACCTTTCACTGATGGCCTCTGACTGCTCCTGGGTTGCCCACCTGGCTGCTCCTATTGCAGGAGCTGCACACTTAGGCCAAACTCGCCTTCGGGCCCTGCTATAGGGCCTTCACCTTGTATGTGTGACCTAGCTCTTGGAGTCCCTGTAGGTGTCTCACGAGCCCCATTTTACTCCATGAGCAGGGTCCTGCAGCTCAGGGCTGGTGGCCAGAACCTGGCTTGGCCACCCTGGTAGATTGGGCTGACAGCTGTGTCTCTCTGCACACCTGGATTTGAGCAGGATCACTCTTCTTTCCCTGAGAATGTTTGCACTGAGTCCTGGTTGGCAGCTGCCTTCCTGGGCCTCCTTGAAGCCCCAGGGGACATTATGTTCTCCTAAATCTACTGGTCTGCCTTTAGAGCCTTCCTGTAACAACTCCCTGTCCTACCTTAAGCAATATGTCCATCTCGTGCTATCCCCTTGTCACCTGACCCTTCCACCGTTCAGTTTTGGCTGCTCTTCTGCTCACATAGCACTCACCGGGCTAAGGTAATCACCACCTTGCCACGGTCTTGGTTGCTCCCTTTCTACACCCACAGCAGCACCCTCTCCCCATCAGCTCTGCCTTTTACCCTAAACTCCCCCAGGACCACAGGACAGCATCCCTCAGCCTTCTCACCAGACCTCTGGAGCCTAGCCCTTTCCAGCTGCTGAGTCAATGTGCACTTGAGCCTTCCAGGCTTTCCTCACCGTGTGACCCTCTGTGTGACAAGGCTTTCTTTTGCAAGGTGTGGGTGATACCCATTCATCAGCTGACTCCTCAAAGTGTCTGATACCAAGATGAAAGCAGTTCTTCTCATCAGACCCAGGCAAAGTGAGAGCCAAGAAGCGAGGTGGGGAAGTCCCACTGTCCCAAGGGCTTTTCAAAAACCCTGCGAGACCCCTTCTCTGGATGCATGCAGCCTGCCGTGCTCCTCATGTCACCCACACCCCGTCACCCTGTTTCCTAAGCCTGCAAGAACTTGGGAGGAGCTCAGAGAGGAGCCCCTGCTTGGGAGGGTCCCTCCCCAGCACCCAAGCCAGCTCGTGCTCACGTTCTCAGCACCAGGGCATTGCAGTGAGCGGCTCTCTTTGTCTTGCCCTTTAGGACTCCCACAGTCTACTGCCGCAGGCACGTGTCCATGGTGTTCTGCTGTGCCAACTCAAAAATTTGGTCTGTCTCTGATTGTTATTTAGGTGAACACAGCACTGTCTCAGAAGGACCCGCGGCTCCTGGTGTCTCTGGTCAAGGACCTCGTATCCTTTTGGGGACCATAGAAGGCTTCTGCTCTTTTTGCAGGCCCCATTTCTATGAGAACAGTGTCCTGTGGAAGTGGCCAGATGAGCTCTTCTTTGTTCTTTTGCTCTGTAGTTCAGATTGGTCTTGAACTCACTACACAGCCCAGGCTTGCCTGGAATTTGTGGGATCCTCCTGCCTCAGCACTCCTATGAGTGCTGGAATTACAGGTGTGCACCACCACACTGGCCCAGATGAGCTCCTCTCTGCGTGCCTTGGTTATGGCTGTCTGATCTGATACTTAATCAGCAGTTGTGAGGACTCTCACTTTGGGTGTTTATGTGCATTGTTGTGAGTGACAAGCTGTGGTGTGCAGGACAGCCTCCCAGGGAACCCTGGCTGGCTATATAGTGGGTCGTCCACGCATGTCTTCAAGGGTATACGACCACATGGACATCACATGGCCACCTGGAGACCACAAAAACTCCTGGCTCAGGTGTTAGAACTCAGAAGCTGTGGCACTGAAGTGCTGTCTTGAGGCCAGCTGACTCCCCAGTCTTCTACCTCACCTACAGTGGCCTCTGTCATCCGAGCTACGCTGGTGCTAATGGTTGTTCCCACAGCTGCCATCTAGCAGCAGACTGTACTGTTGAAAGCCCTAAGGGGATCTGATGAGAGACACAGAAAAGCTAACACTTGGTATTTGGACGTGTTTGCTACTTAGGTAAAGACACTAAAGTAACGAGTGCTCTTAAAAGCAGAGATCCAGTTCCCACACAGTTCCTGGCTGGGAAGAGGCAGCACCTGACCTCCAGGAGAAGGGGCCGGACCAAGCACAGCGGAAGCTCAGTGACAATCACCCCACCACTCAGGGCTTCTGCTGTCACATCACCAGTTGACCGCTGACTCTACCTCTGTGGGAATTCCGTCCTCTTGCCTGGGCCAGGCCCTGTGAAATGGGGGTTCGTTCCCCTTCCCTCTTGCTTGTCAGTTCCGTTACGTTTAACTCTCAACCCAGCCGGTACCTAAAAGGCAGGCGGGCCACTGCCTCTATTTATATATAGGCAAGACCCTAACAAACTCGACAAAATCCAGCAGAGGATAAAATTTATCAAAGTCTCTGTAACTCCAAAATAAAAGACAGGGGCTTTTTATTTCAAAAGGAAAACTATGAACTCTACTCTGTCTGTGTGCTTATTTCATGTGTATGTATAAGTGTGTTGCAAATCCCTGAGATTTTTCCTCCACAGATTTACAAGAGCTCAGTTTTTAATTGGCTTATGAGTGCTCATAAATAAAACATACCTAAGCTTGCTAAAAATATGTATGTAGTACTTAATCTGAATACTTTTCATTCATGTAACTTAAATAAATCCTTGTAAATAAGCCAGTGTAAAATTTGTTGGTAAAATAAAAATGAAGATGCCCTCAGCATCATCGGTGTATGTTTTGCTGCCAGACATCAGGTTTAACACGAAGTCATAGAACTATAAATCCATTCTAAGAACAAGGCGATCTTCAATGGAACAGATACATAAGGCTAATGGAACTTGACTGTCCTAAGCTAACACACCATTCAAGCGGACGTGATACAGACACAGGTATCTCTGCCAGAGATCTAAGATCACAGGAGTTAATTCTGACCTGAGAAACCAGGAGCAGAGAGAGGTTGTGCCCCTGGATGTCACCACAGCCACTTGTGTCTGACAGGGCTGTCATGACTCTCTTGCTAGCCTGCTGACTCAGTTTTCACCAGGTGTCCACGTGTGAAGCCAGAATAGCAGTTTAAAATGAACAAATTAG